TTAGGGAGCATTGGTGTACTCTGTCCACTGCCAGGCACAGAGAAAGTGGGGGCCCTCCCAGGGGCCAGGGAACAGGTTTGAATTGTCACAAGATGAATTGTTGGAAAAGCAGGGATGGGGTCTGGTGGGTTAGCTCACTTGGTTAGAGAGTGGTGCTGGGAAAAGCAGGGATGTTGGTCAGTCGTAACTGATTGGGGAGGTGGGGTGGGACACTGGTTATTTATATATTTATTAATTTACTTGGGCCAGGTTCCAAATCCAAGAGGTACAGAAAGATTTATAACACGGCCTGTTTCTGCTATAGTTTTCCAGATATCATCACAAGCAAATACCTAGAGATATACTTTTTAAATATATGAACAGTAGTACATCATACCCACTGTTCTGCCTCTTGAGTTTTCCACTCAACAGGACATTCTGGAGATTGTTCCAAGACAAACAGGACACAAACTACATTCTTGTCCTTTTTATTTTATTTTTATTTTTTTTTTCCCATATAAAGATGACCGGTAAGGAGATCTTAACCCTTGACTTGGTGTTGTCAGCACCACGCTCACCCAGTGAGCAAACCGGCCATCCCTATATGGGATCCAAACCCGCGGCCTTGGTGTTATCAGCACCTCACTCTCCCGAGTGAGCCATGGGCTGGCCCATGTTCTCGTCCTTTTTAAATTTTTCTTTTCCTTTTCTCTCTTTTCTCTTCTGCTGAAGACTTCCTCATCCTTTTTGATGACTGCATAGTTTTCCACCATAAAGCTCCACTCTAACTCATCCAACCTGCCCCCTATTGCTGCATGCTCAGCTGGTTTCTACTCTTTTGCTCGCACACCACTTGCTGTTGGGAATGTCGTTCTGTAGAGGTCATTTTGCACAAGTCTGAGTATGTCCCAAAGAGAAATTCGTAGTAGTGGGATGGCTGAGTCAAAGGGTATATACATTTGTAAATTACCTTCTTACCAGCAATGTACAAAAGTGCTTGTATCCGCACACTCTCTGACATAAGCACTGTGTTTATCTTTGCCAATTTGAGAGGTGAAAATAGTATCTCCGTGCAGTTGTATTTGTTTTTGTTTTTGGGTTTTTTTTTGGTGCTGGCTGGTATGGGGATCTGAACCCTTGACCTTGGTGTTAGCAACATGATGCTCTAACCAGCCAGCCCTATTGTGTTTATCTTGCCGTGAGTGAATCTGGATGTATTTTCATTCAGAGCTGTTTGTATTTCCTTTGCTGGGCACTCTCCAGAGGTATCTATCGGCCATATTACTACCGGGTCTTCAGCTTTTTCTTATGGATTTGTAATCGCTCTCGATATATTAGAGAAATGAGCCCTTTCTGTCAAGCTGCTTATATTTTTTCCCAGTTTTTTCATTTTCTGAGACATTAAATTGGTCTTTGTGATAATAATAGCATTGAGGGGAATTAAGGGGCATCTGCCAACTCTCCAAATTTCCCAGAAGGAAAAAATTGTAAATAATATGTTATAGCTTTCAATTATACATAAAATG